TTCTGAATATGTTACCTTATGCAATACTTATACATATGTATATGAATGGCTTATGATTGAACATGTTCTAATTCAAAAACATGTGATTTATAAGCTTGTCTATTAAACATATAAGTCTTGAGCAATTTCATTCATGCACACTTCCCACATTAAGGTTCATTCACATGTTAATAATATCCCCGCATGACTAAACAAACATATTTTACAAAACTATCTTTTTCATGTGTAAGAATTTTTGTAAAATAAGCATGTGAATGAAAAGTTTGAAAAGTGTAAATATAAACTACTTGAATGAAACTTTTCATAATGTATACATTCAACACAGAACAGTAAACCAAACACTTGAAGTTAAACCTAGGAAAGAGAAATCAAATGAAGAACACATTTGATAGAAAATTAAATGCAAAGCTTAAACCTAAAAAAATTTGATTTTTATAAAAATTTAAAAACTAGGAATAAAAAAATCATGAATTAAATATAAAACTCAAAATTAAATAAAAAATTCACTAATTTAAATAACATGAACCACAACTAGGCATATCAATTGTGAACCCGAGGTTGACCAACTTAAAATAAAACTGAGGATTACACACACCCTGGAATAGTCTAGTGCAGAAGCTTATGTTATTTTACTAGATACCAATAGTTAGTGTTAAGGACTAGGACATATAAAACAAACAACCTTACCCCCTTGGATTATGTAGGAGCCCTAGGATGAAGTAACTCAAGATTATTGGCAAAGATACCTCAAACTGCCTAATTGAAAGAATATATATACACTTTTCATCACTATGATAATAGTGGAAACCACTAACTATCTGGTTAGTTAATAGTCTAAGGATCATAATGCACATGGGATAATGTAAAGCCATGAACATCATCGTTGTGGGTGATATTCTCAAAAATTAGATTGGTCTGCCCATTTAGCCTCCTTCATAGTCTAGGTTTTTTTTAAGGTTAAGAAATCACTTTCATTTAGAGATCTTTCTAATATATCATTCTCCTTTGCCAAGAGTTAAAACCTCAAATCCAAGTCTTCAATCGCACAACATCAAATCCAAACCTCTAATCTAGTCAGCCTTCATTATCAATCATAATTCGAATCCTCAAATTCAATCCTTTAACTTTTAAATCCTCAAATTCAAATACTCAACTTCAAACCCTCAAATTCAACTAAAACTTCTCAAAACTAAAAGAACACCTTAAACCTATAATCTCAAATTTAATAAACTTTAAAAAATTTAACTAACTTTATCAAACTTCAACAAATTCAACAAACCTTAGCTGTTATAACAAACTTTAATAAATTAACAAACTTAAAAAAATTCCATAATCAACTTTTAACAACCTTAAAATAAAGTAAAATTGACTTTTAAGAACCATAAAGCAAATAAAATAATTTCAAGGCAAACCTTAAACACCTTAATAAACTCAAATAAACATTAATAAATCTTCAAATAAATTTTAAATGACCCTAAAACAAACCCAATAATGCTAATTAGCATTAAAAATAAATTTCAAAAAACCTTAATAAAATTCAAATAAGTAAACAAACAAACTCAAACACTCCTAAAACAAATCAAGCATCTTCACACCAAACTTGAAAAATACTTTAAATACACCTCAGACAAGTAACCTTTACAACTTAAAATAAATCCTAATTAATCAAAATAAATTAACTCAAAACAAAAATTTAAACAAAATTGAATCCAACCAACTCAAGTTTTCACTTTAAATGAATCACCAAACTCAAACTCTTTTTAACCAACAATCAACCCAAAATAAAATAATCAAAATAAAAAACTTTCAAACTAACTCTAAATTTTTAAATCCACAAGTCAACCTCTTTTTTAACAAATATTTATTCCAATCCCCATGGCAAGCCTTCTTCACATAGTTATCCAACCCTTTTCCTCGTCTTTCCATGACTTACTGCTATTGAACTATATGTCTCAATCCTTAAATTCCATGTAATCTTTTCAAAATTGAAGTCTATCAAATATAAAGTTCTAAACTCAATCTCACATAGACTTACCAAGTAATCATGCACGATATAAACAAAAAATTTAATCGAGAGTATTCTCGGGAGCCATAACTCCTGAGATGTAATTAATTACAAGAGCTTCCTCTTGTAGGGACACCTAACCCAAAAAAAAAAAACCCCTATCTTACCCCAATAAGGTAGGGAAAACTCTTGGTTCCGTAAACCTATAAATCTTGAAGATTTTCTTCATCCGAGTGATATTAGATCTATGTTAAGGTAATATTCATAACATTTATAGCATTATATTATTCTTCAGATGACACATCCTACCATTTAAATATAAATCTTTTGAGATCTATGATGGACAACACATCAAACAAACAATATCTCCACCATGTTTGCTGCAAGTGTTGAAAATATATAGGAATGATCTGCCATTCTTTTTTTTATTCATATACAAGTTTCATTAAGAATGATTAAAGGAGCATCAACAGCAGTATGTCAGCTAAAATTTCTCTAATCAATTTTTGGTAACATATCAACAACAATATTGGCCAAAATTTTTGAAGAATAATGCCACCACTATATCAACTAGAAATTGATTAGAAAATTTTTGATCAATTATCACTATTTTGGCAAATTTTATGACACTTTGTTTATTTGAGAACACATCTCATTTTGTGATGGATATTTAGCTAGAAAACCTTTAGTAATGAATTCTAATGAATTTTTCTCTTGACAAAATACATTTATATCTAAGTGATTATTATCAAAATAATATATTCATATAATCTACCATTATTGTTTTTCTTAAATATTGCCAAATTTTTAAGAAATTGTTCACTAAAAATAGTAACATTTTTGGAAGTAATAAGAATATTGATGCTTGATTCATTCAAAGAAAAATTTTACTATAAAAATATTAGTTTGAACTCAGTTTAAACAAAGGTCAAATGGTTTTTTACATCTTTACATGTTTATTCAAATAAAATTTCACAAGTTTAGTAAATGGTGGGAAAATGTTTAATTTTTTAAAGAGCTTCGAGTCATGTTCAAAGCTACACTAATATGCTTTGAAATTTGTCCAAATCGAGTTTGAATTAAGTTTAAAGCTTTAATCATTGATTAACCTTTATTTAAACCTATTTTTAAAAACCTCTCCTTTGCTTGACATTTAGATTTTATCAAAATGAACTTAGATTTCAAAGATTTAATTCCCTATAATAGATTTATCACACTTCATTGATATTCAACTTTCCTGGTAGCCTTCTTTTGTGAACAAGCAAAATTTCATTGAAACATGACTTTCTCTTGAAGGCGGGCAAACACTTCAATACAAACATGCCACTTATTAAGAGCATGCAAACACTTTGTTTGAAATTAAATCAATTATGTCTTCTTTAAATATTAGAAAAAATGCTTTATACGGAGGGAAACAAAATTACTAAATTAGATAGCCTTGTCCTAAATTATAATATTTGACTATAATACTTTGTTTTATTATAGCATCATGATACTCATACAATGTTGTAAGAAGAAATCTCATAAAAATAAGAAATCAACAATGTTTATGGGAGTAAATGTAAAATTGTTATGAAAACATAAACAAATGATGCTTCTTTTTTTTTCGAGAGAGATATCGACAATATTTTGAGCTAGATGTATATTCCTTGACAATATTGTCATCCTAAATGAAGTTAATTAATATTTACCCAAATAATTTATTTAAAAAGATTTATTTTAAGAAATATAGTCATGTTTCTATTTTAAAATTCTCCTCAATTTTGAAAAAAAATCAATAACATCAACTTACTTATGGAAATATCAATATTTAGGGTGAGCAATCACGGCAATGTATTAAATTTGGTTATGTCCCTAATTAAAATATGGACTTATAACTTTTGATATTTGATTAAACCACATTATCTAATTATAGAGTAGTGATTTCTTTTGATAATGCTAGAAGAAATCTTACACAAATAAACCACAAATTCAATAATATTTATGAGAGTAAATTTAAAGTATGTTTAAACGAGAAAATAAGATGCTTATGCATCTTTTTAATTGAGTATTGAGAATAGCTTGAGTGTGATATATATATACTTATTAATATTATTGTTCTAAATAATTTTAATGAATATTTAGTAAAAGCAAATATATTTAAACAATTTTATTTTAAGGACATAAAATTTCTCTTTTAGAATTCTTTTTTACTTCAAAAATAAAAATCAACAATGCCGATGCCCAAAAAATAATGGAAAATTTTTCTGTATGGACTCCGGACGTAGCACTATGTGTGGATTCCAATAATATGTCATCATGTGTGCTCCATCACGGAGGTTATTTTATTGAAGTGAAGACTATTTCGAGACCATTTTGAGATTTTTGAAAAGAAACACATATATTTCATTTCAATAACCTCGAAATAACTCATAAATAACTTCGAAATAACATTCGCGGTTCTACTTCAATAATTTCAAAATAATCTCATTGAAATAATATCGTGGAGGTTATTTCTGTTTTATTAAAGAAAAACTCATATATTCCACTTCAATTACACCTAAATAACCTAGAAATAACCTTCACGATGTTATTTCAATGAGGTTATTTCGGGGTTAATGAAGTGGAACTGTGGAAGTTATTTCGAGGTTATTTTGATATTATTGCAAAGTCCACAATTACACTTTAATATTTTTTAGGTGAACCTGATGTAACACATATTACATCCGGATTACGGACAGAAAATTTTTTCCATAACAACCGTCAAAGGCTAGAGAATTGAAGAAGTTTTGTTTAATGAATAATTTAATACTTTTTAGGTGAGTCTGATGTAACACATATAATTGTATATTACTAGGAGTCCGCACTTAGAATTACATCCAGATTTCAGAGAGAAAATTTGTCCATAACAACCGTCGTAGGCTAGAGAATTGAAGAAGTTTTGTTTAATGAATAATCTATACCTATAGCTTAGTTTATCTCGAACTGACCATCTTATGCAATGTAATTTCACGAATTAAAAAAAAAAATGCTACGAACCCTAGAACACGGCGAACAAAACCACATATCCGTACGTTTTCGGCTGGAACGTCTGTTCCTGAAAACAGGCATTTTTTCGAGCGCTATCCTCTCTTCTGCTATTCAGCTTCGGCACACAGTGGTCTTGTTGTGTTTTGGGTGGTGAGTGCCCCCAACATTTATACTTAGGATTATTGGGATCATTTTGACTTATGATGCCATGTATATTTATTGCAATCATCGCTTTGATTTTCATAATTGGTCGAATTTTGTAGCTCATATTGCTTTTATATGCTTACCTACATTTGGTTGAATGCAGATTCACCTGGTTTTGTTTTGCTAGAGATGACCAGGGGAACTCTAAGCCTGTGTGTTAAAATTGGTCCATAAATGTATATTGTACATGTGTTAGAATTGAGGAACTCCATGTCGTTTTAGTCTTACCTTTGCCTACTCCTTTCTCCCTGACTCTGTATCAGCTCCAGTGGCGCATCGCCCTCTCCTGTGGCTTTGGCTCCGCCTCCCGTTTTCTCGTCACCAAATAGTTCAAGTTTCAGTTCAAAGTCTTATTTTTCTTGCATTTCTTGTGTTTTTTTGAAACTAAACAAATAATTTAATGTAATCAGAATATACCGCATTTAATTAGAATTATTTCCTCAAAATTTATAATTATGTATGCTTGCCACATTTTATATTCAATAGGGCAATATATTTTCACTGCTTATTTAGCAATATTATAATAGAAATAGGACCGTTCAATTCTTTTTGTGTTTGCTATTTTTATGTTGCTTGATGTCTTAAACTATGGTCATTTGGAATTGGGCTCTTTATAGTAAAGCCATTGTCTTTGTCTTATCTATTTATTTTTCGAAATCATGCCATTGTTGCAGCAATTTTCAAGAGAATTTTTACTTTTCAATTCGTTTATTTGTGTTTGATATTTTTATAGACACTGGCATAACATGGGTACTATATCTGAGATGTGAAAAGGCCCAATTTGAGCTTAAAAGGAAAAACAGTTAAATGTCTTTCCAGATGCAATGACAAGCGTTATCCAACATAAAAATATTTGAAAAAAGACTGGCGATATTTTATGTTTTGGCGAGAGGGTTGCATTTACATTTATAATTTAATATGCACTAATTATTGTTTGTCTTGTAAATTTGTATCTTTATGTAAGTAATGTATGCATGCATCCTTATGTGAAAATTTAGTCTTTTTTGTTGATCTACATGTGTCACCAAACAATACAAATTCAATTGACTTATGGGCAATTTTAATGACTATTGTCAAGCATAGTATCACATAAAATTAATTCAACGTGTTTTGAAATACAACATGTATATCAAGATGTTTTTGTTACATTTAATTGTGATAATGTGTCTACAACATAAAAAAAATACAATAGAAGTAGAGCCCTCAATAAATTCAATCGATTAGATCAAATACAATGATAATGATGAAGGACAAATGCACTGACAAAGAAGTTTTGTTTGAAATGCACCGCAAAAATAAAAATCTCTCAAATCTTACTCATTTCATGAAAAATAGGTCACAATTACCTAGAAAAGGCATTTGTGTTGCCTATGTCAACACCCCTTTGTCACCACCCAAAAGCAAAATAAAAAGTTTACATGCATCCAGTTTACACTTGCAAATGACATAAATTGAGTGAGATCTGATGCGTACTTACGTTATTACTTACACAGATACAATGACACACATGTAGACACATAGGTATACAAACACAGAGAAAAACACACAAACACGCACGCACGCACACACACGCACGCACGCACACACACGCACACACACACACACACTCACACACACACATATATATACACACATACATGAATATTCATACATATATACACATATATACATTCATACATCCAAACTTAAAATAATAGTAAAAAAAAAAAATTATCTGATAGCCTTACTTGCAACGCTCCTCTCAACATGCAACTCCCCTTCTCAATAGTTCATCTCTAGCTCTTGCTCATGCCTCACATATTTCCTTTTCTCTATCTTTTTATCTCACGGTAATGCTCTCCTAACTTCTTCAATCCCGAAGTCCCTGCTATGATCCCTCTTCCTCCCTCCCTTATCATCATATGCATACCTCACTCCATCTACGTCCTCTCCTCTCATACTCTTTGTTTTCCAAAATTGTGCTTGTCACTTCGCTACTTGCATGCTTACTAGCCAATACTCATTTTCCATGTCGCTGATCTCTCCAAGTGTCTCCTCCTTTTTAGCATTAAGATGTGAGTCTATAACAGTCCCGTTTCAGTTACGAGAGGGAAAGAAAATGTAGGGAGGCGAGAGGTATCGAAGAGCTGAGCAAAAGGAGGATGAAGCGAGGAGTCTGGAAGTTGAAACTAAGTGTCGGGAAATTGAATAAAGGGGAAACGAGAAGGTCGGAAGGCAAGAAATTACATTCGCACTATGAAAAAACACACTTGAGGGAGAGAGAGGTGAGATTGATTTACTTGGGAGTTGAGAGGCGTGTGAAGGAGAGGAGTATGGCGTCGGAAGGAGGTAGCCCCGTGTGGTTCGCTGCTATGTCAAGCCGTGATTAAAGGAGTCAAGGAAGAAGTTGCAGCTCTTTTGAGGAGCTTTCTATGCTTGCATAAAAGCTTCAAGTGTGCCCTAGCTTACCATCGAAGAATAAAAGAGGAAGAAAGGAAGAGAAGAGTGGCGGCTTAGGAGGATCGAGTGTAGGCTGAATCGCGCAGAGGAGGAAGGAGTGTCTTCGCACGTAGGGCTCAATTGAGTGTTATCCAGGTGAGTTTTAATAACTTTAAGATATTTAATAAGAATTTATATAGACATATAATTAGCAGTATATAAAGTAAAGAATGAAAATTTAATACTTAAATAAAGTAATGTTAATGGTTTATAAAATAATATTTTATTTTAAAGTTTTGTAATGTAAACAATGACAAATGAAATTAGAGAAAGTCGTCTTAGATGGTTTGGTCACATTAAGCGTCGACCATCTGATGATCCGATTAGAATAGTAGATAGTAGATGTTTTAGATTCGACTTATGTTAAGAAAGATAGAGGTTGACCTAAGAAGACTTGGGCTTATTGTATAAAAAATGATATTAATTTATTAGAACTAAATGAAAATATGACACTAAATAGGACACAATGGAGAAAAAATGATTCATGTAGCCGACCCTACGTAGTGTGATTAAGGCTTTGTTGTTGTAGTTTATAAAATAATAACTTATTTTAAAGTTTTATAATATAAATACCAGGTTAGATTGCCACTTTAGAAAAGTTTACGTCAGGGCAAATCTTATCAAATTAAGTGTCACAATATTGTTATAGTGTCTCTTCTAAACCAGTTGTATGGATTGTTATTCATGTTTGATTAATGAAATTGATTTTTCTATTATTAAATTTTATTAGTCATCTCAATACAAATGCTTATAGTCATAGATTATGAAATAATTGATGCGGTACATTATTATATGTTGAGGATATGAAATTGTGAATAATAAAATCTACGTAGAGTGATTGTATGTGTATGTTTGACTATGATGGAGTTACCTTTAATGACACTAGTGAGAGAATACAAATGTACTTATGCTCGAATATGAAAAAGAATAATGATATTGAAGTACTTTAAGTGATATTATAATTTTTGGATGATGCTCCTCTGACGGCTGTACAAATATACAATGATATTGATATGTTATTGATATGATAAGATTCATTGATTGCATGTTAAATATTTATATTTATTCATAAAAAAGTTTAACTGACATGCATTTTGTTTTCTCTTTCCTTATATTGCTATCGTTTAGGAGTATGTGTATTCACTTGCTTGTTTGACTCATTATTATTTTTAAACTAACTTTTCAAATTCACTAAGTGGCGAAAGATAAACGATAGAAAAGAAAACATGTATAAAAGACGCGAAAAACCACAAATAAGGTTAATTTAAATATATTATTTTAATTTATTTCGATTAGTAACTCTTTCATCTATTAAATAGTAACTGAATATAGAAAATTTAATTCACATCGTCCGACCGTCTATCATCATTTTGGTTAACTCTAAGCCCTAGGTTGGGTCGTGACAAAAGTGTCATTAGAGCCCATGGTTTAAGATTAATTATTTAAATATCGATGAAAGAGCCAATAGAATAATTATAAGAATATTTTAATAATTATAAAATTAAAGTTAACTCAAATTAATAATTACATACATTTAGACATAGTGATGCAACTGAAATTATAGAATAATAAAATTCAATAGAAAATGAAGAAATACATCTTACTATAATTGTGAACGCGAATGTCTTGATTCAAATGATGACAGCGAAGACTCAGCTGATTCAACAGTTCATATTGCAGCCTACCAGGAGTAATACAATCATTGTAGATAAGTATTCAAAGATATCTCAAGATCTGCGTCCATCTTTGTTTAAGGGAACTGAAGATCCAATTGAAGTGGAGAACTGCGAATGAGGATAGAAAAGTACATGATAACATGGCTTGTCTGGTTGAAAGAAGAGTACTATTGGCAACATTTATATTGGATAAGGATGCGGAAAGGTGGTAACATGAGCAACATCAGGACAGGTTAAGGGGCATACCCAACATGATGATAAGTTGGGAGAAATTCGTGGACCATTTTAGAGAGTGGTTAGTACCCCAATCCCATTGACGACAGATGCAGGATAAATTCATCAAGTTGAGGCAAGGAGAGAAGGCAATCTTGTAGTACGAAGCGGAATTCACTGTACAGTTGAGGCTTATGCCACAATTGATCACTTCTACATAAGAAGAATGTATAGATTTCTTTCATGATTAAATGATTTGATCAGACAACTGTTGGTATTTTTTAGGATCGATGAATAGTCGGTACTAGTGGAACGAGCTAGAAAAGTAGAGATCAACTATCATCTTACTCAGAAGCGTAAGGAGAGCACAAGAGGAAGAATAATGGTGAAGGTGATCATGTGGATTACTCAGAAGGATCCAATGGAAAGAAGTCTAAGAACAATTCCGGTGGAGTTAGTAGAGGTATGCGCAGAATACCATAGCCACTTGTGTCAAATGTGGAAGACAACATAAGGGTGAATGTTTGATGGGCTTTAACACTTGTTCTTCGTGCTGTCAGCCTGTTCATATAGCAATAT